AGATACGTAGTTGCGTGATCCTTTCAGGACTGATTACTGATTTGTTTGTTTATATTCACGTAAAAACTCTTTAGTTCCTATCAATTTGTTTTACGTTGGCATATTTTTAGAAAGAACAACGTACAATAAAGACGAAATTTTCTTAAAAGGAACTCTCTTTCTATTGCTCGCCTACTCAAGAATTCTCGTCATACCTGCTGTGTTTGTCAATACTTTTTAAACAACAATAGACAAATAATTTTTATATGTTTAAAGGTAATATTTTTTTGTATTTTTTAATGAAAAATATGTGTTTATAGATTGATATATTCATAAAAAGGAGGGGTGTCAATAAGGCCGTTTTTTGGACCACGTCAGAATCGCTCCAAACTGTGGTATTTTCTTCTTACCGATGTAGCTCACAACCTCCTAGAACCGTTTGCTGTCCGAGCAAGTAGAGGCTGAGAACGGGCAACTTGAAATCGCAAAAATCAATGGAGTTTTTCATATGGTGATAGTGCCGGTCTCATTTCAGCATGTTATTGTTGGGAGGGAGGGAGAAAAGGAGGGTGGGGGAGGGAAGAGGAGAAAAGGAGAGTGGGGGAGGGAGGGGGAGAAAAGGAAGGAGGGAGGGAGGGAAAGAGAAAAAGAGAGAGAGAGAGAGAGGAAAAGAGAGATAGAAAAAGGGAGGGAAGGGAGGGAGAGGGAGGCAAAGAGTGGCAGAGGAAGGGAGAGGAAGGCAGACCTGCTCCCTCCCGTCTGGTTCCCGTCATTCTCTCTCTCTCTCTCTCTTTCTCTCTTTCCCTCTCTCCTTCTCCCTCCCTCCCTTTCCTTTCCTCTGCCCCCCTCTGCCTCCCTCTCCCTCCCTCTGCCACCCTCTGCCACCCTCTTCCTTTTTCTCCCTCCCATCCTTCCTCTGTCTCTCTTCCCCTCTACCTCCCTCCCTCTCACCCCTCTCTACTTCCCACCTTCCCTCCCTCCTTCTCTCCCAACAATTACATGCTGAAATGAGACCGGCACTACCACCATATGAAAAACTCCATTGATTTTTGAGATTTCAAGTTGCCCGTTCTCAACCTCTAATTGCTCGGACAGCAAACGGTTCTAGGAGTTTGTGAGCTACATCGGTAGGAAGAAAATACCACAGTTTGGAGCGATTTTTGCCTCCCTCTCTTCTCCTCTACCTCCCCCCTCCCTTCTTTCCTCCCCCCTCTATCTCCCGCTCTTCCTCTTTCCCTCCCCCACCCTCTCTTCCTCCTTCCCTACCAACAATGACATGCTGAAATGAGACCGGCACTACCACCATGTGAAAAACTCCATTGATTTTTGAGATTTCAAGTTGCCCGTTCTCAGCCTCTAATTGCTCGGACAGCAAACGGTTCTAGGAGGTTGTGAGCTACATCGGTAGGAAGAAAATACCACAGTTTGGAGCGATTCTGACGTGGTCCAAAAAACGGCCTTATTGACACCCCTCCTTTATAAAAACAAGTAACTTAATGGAATTAATCTTTAAAGTACAGTACTTTTTTTTATTAATAATTGATATTTTTCTCTTTACTTTATACACAGTTAAAGAACTCTTTAACAGTAAAAAATACTTAAAAAAATAATTTGTACTATAGTTGTGTTTACAAGTAATTGAATTTATATTGAATTAAATAAAAAATTTTAATATTTTTAAACATTTTTTAGCATAGATGATTATAAAAAATAATAAACATTTTTAATTAACACATGCTAGATGTTAACATTCTAGATTTTTTAAAACAATGTCTTTCAACAAATAAATACAAAAAATTAGAAAACAATATATTCTAAAAGTTATTATTAAAAAATTAAAAACATCTTAATAATAATAATGTTAAAAATGTTTTGCAGAAGAAGAAGAAAAACAAAGAAAACGTCATTGACGCCCAAAGTTCTTCACAAAGTAGCAGTGATTCAAATTCCAGTGAATCATCATCGGATAGTGATTAAGTTTAGTGTTACCATATTACCAATGTTAAAATGAGTTAACCTTGTTAACGTTACCATAACATATATCTAAGTTGTCTATGTTGTATATGCTATTTATTTTATTATATTATCATATTTGATATACTCACTTATATACTTATACTTGTGCACTTTTGTACTCACTTATATACTTAAAAAGTTGACTTATAAAAATAAAATTATAGAGACAATATAATTAATATACAGTATTGATTTTTTATTTAGAACCACTTATTTTGCTTAAATCGTGTTTTGCATGCACAAGTTACGACAAAGAAGCAATTAAACAAACTTTGTAGTTCCTATATAACTTTATCCAGATTTCAGAAAAAAATGTGTTTCTCAGCATTACGTAGTTTTTTAAATTACGTGATTTTTAAAATCACGTACCGATTTGGAACAATCCGTTACGTGATTAATTATGTCATTAATTACGTAATTTTGTTACGTGATTTTGTGATGTAATTTCATGACGTGATTTTGTGACGTGATTTTTTTCAGTAGGGTATTTTCCTCAAATTCGATTGTAATTGGTCAATTCTTGCGACTCACGACATTGCGACTCGCATTGTAGACCCCGCATTAAAGGGCCATCAACAATGAGTCGCAGTCGTAAGAGTCGTAAGAAATTGACCAATCACAGTCTATTATTCTCCTTGCGGTTGAAGAATAATGAACTGTGATTGGTCAATTTGTTACGACTCTTGCGACTGCGACTCATTGTAGATGGCCCTTAAGACAATCAATATAAGATCCGACTATTACTACGTTTACACGAGCGTTATTTCTGTAGTAACTTACAATAATTCCTTCGCGTAAACGGGATTTTGTAGTAACTTACGATAATTTATTCCGCGTAAACGGGTGAATTATCATAAGTTACTACAGAAGTAAACGCTCGCGTAAACGTAGTATATGGCCTAGAGTTATGCTGGGTTTACAATGCGAGTTGCAAAGTCGTGAGCCGCAAGAATTGACCAATCACATTCGACTTTGAGGAGAATAATCGACTGTAATTGGTCAATTCTTGCGACTCAAGACTTTGCGACTCGCATTGTAGACCCAGCATTAATTGGAAAGCATTGTAGAACCGGCTTAAAGGATACCGACGTATAGTTGACAAACAAATTAAAAAATATTGAAAATTATCTTATCCAATCGTTTAGAAATTATTTGGAGATATTTGGAAAAAGCTTTTCAGAGTTTGGAAAACCATACAATAATCACAATTAATTAAAATCAATTAAGCGTATAATTAGCAGAAAGTGTCTAAAAAATATTTTTTTTTAATCCAATCGCTCCAGGGAGTCGATTACGGTTCTTGAAACGAAGTGAAAATTACAAAAGTGAACAGATTTACTAGATTTCGACCAATAAAATCATAGATAACCTAGTGAACTTCCTCACTTTTGTAACTTTTACTTCGTTTCAAGAACCGTAATAAGCTCCCAGTATCATTTAGATAAAGTGTCGATATAATTTTCATTATTTAGAAAACAACTCTATTCTAATAAAAATTAATTAAAGGTCAATATTTCGTTTTAATGTCTGCACTATATAGTGCAATAAAGTGCACATACTTTTCTATGTATGTTTTATTGGTAGACAGGCTGTGTTTCGATATTGACTGTAAGTACTGAAAATCTATAATATACGTCATCACTTTTTCAGTACTTTATAGTCTATACCATGGTGGAAGTAATAAGGTGTGCTTATGCGCACGTTTCTTGCATTATCCAATCACAGAACGTGACAGATGTCCGCCAATTTTGGTAGGAGATTCAAATTGTGTGATTATTTAGACTATGTTTAAATGTCGTTATGAAAGTAAAAAATGTAATTGTCACTTGAATCGCCATTAAATCTAATTATTTTTTAAAATTACAATAGAAAATTAAGAAATATAGAAAGAAGAAATGAATTACACGGCATGTTAATGGTAAAATAATTTCGATTCATACTATTTGTTACATCTTGCACTAAAAGTTTGAAAAATGGTATCGCAAAATTGTTGTATATTAAGAAATGAATTATTTATCGCTTTTCGCTAATTTTGTCACTTCTTATTCTCTGAAAAGTCGATTGTAAAATTAATTAATATAAAATGACATACCATTACAGTTTGTGAAAATATTATTTATTAAATATTATTATTTTAATTAATTGTAATGTAAATCACATCATATTACAATGTACAAGTCGATGTTCTTACTGTCATAGAATGTGATAAAGCCAAATTTTCATCGTTGCTTGCGACAGCAACTAGCTGTACGAAATTCGACTCGCAAGGCTGATCCCGATTTGTGCCATGATCAGTGCCTGTCACATTTCTCTGTGTATCATCTGTTCCTAAAAATCGTATCATTCATATTACAATTCAGTACTTATGTTATAAATGATTTTTAATTCACAAATGTGTACTTAGAATTTAGGTTACATTTAGTAACATGTAAAGTTACGAATATTTCAGAAATTGTATTGGACTCTGCACAAATGAATTGGAAAATATTGATTTGGAATACAAACACGTTTATAGCAAGGATTATAGATAATATGTAAAGACCTGAAATATTGTCAATACTTACTCGATATTTTACTCAATTCTGTGTTGATCTACTATCGATGCCATTGGAACCGCATCAGGAAGTAGTTTTTGAGACTCTTCCCGTGTCTCCTACTAAATTTTTAAGCCATGTCTTATCTTCGAATTGACCAGGTAGAAAATGTTCTGAACAAACTCGAGCTGCAAAAAACGTTACATAATTTTTATATATTTTACATATGCAAATTAATAAATATCTTATACATTTTTACAAAGCATGTAGCACGTTTTTATTCATATTAATTACACAAGTATTTTTTAAATTCATAAACAAAATTCATACAATAATATTGTACACTTACCAGAAGTAGGGTTAATGTTCTCTTTGTAGAAAACTTTCCACTTTTCTATCATTTCCGTCTTCCTCGGAAATCCCAAGAAAGTAATATTTCGGTTTTTTGCGTTTCGCGTGTTGTTTTTACAATTTTTTATTGAACACGACGGCATTATTTACGAATTTTGCACTTTTGACTGTGTACTAACTCACGGAAACACACCGACACAAGAATCTGTGGGAGCTTTCCAGCAAGCGACACAAGTCGACACAGGTATCGTTCTGTCTTTGTTACTCATTGCCAAAAAAGAAAGATAGAATGACGTTTGTGTCGGCTTGTGTCACTTGTTGGAAAGCTCCCTGTTAGTATGAGTTCAAAATGGACGATTTTTGTCACGATGCGCAGAACAGACGAAAATGTGTCCACAATACGAACACACCTTATTACTTCCACCATGGTCTATACTAGACTACGTCGGCTTGGAGTCGGTTACTCCAGTGTTACTCTAGTCCATTTTGGAGTAAAATTAATTAGCACGAAGATCCAGCTATGACCGATAACGGCTTTACTTATTTAATTTGTTGTTTTCATGTATCGGTCGATATTCTATATTCTGTTTTAAAAATAATTATCTATATACACTATATACAGTACTGCTTCAGGAACACAAGGAGGAGACTGGTGTGAACAGCGCTGAAGCAGTACCGTAGTGTAGATAATTATTTTTAAGCCTGTCTACCAATAAAACATACATAGAAAAGTATATGCATTTTATTGCACTATAATGCAGACATTAAAACGAAATATTGACCTTTAATTAATTTTTATTAGAATAGAGTTGTTTTCTAAATAATAAAAATTGCATCGACACTTTATCCAAATGATTCTGGAGCGATTGGATTAAAGAAAAATATTTTTTAGACACTTTCTGCTAATTATACGCTTAATTGATTTTAATTAATTGTAATTATTGTATGGTTTTCCAAACTCTAAAAAGTTTTTTCCAAACATTTCCAAATAATTTCCAAACGATTGGATAAGATAATTTTCAATAATTTTTATTTTTTATGCCAACTATACGTCGGTTTAAAGGATCTCTATGCACTGCCCACTTACAAAAATCCTCTGATTGGTCGCGCCCAAAAAAATGTCGATCCGCAGTATGGATCGACGCAATTAAAACTACAAAAAAGGGTTGAGTGAACATACGTTACTGTACTGTGGTCGCTATGGTCTATGGTATGGACATGATTTCACTAGGTTAAGTATCAATATTATTGTCAAATGAAGCAATTGTACTTTTAAGCATTTCTCTGCAAAATAAGTGAGATGGGTTTACTTACGGATCCCAGAGCTGGAACTGGCAAAATCATAAAATTGTTACTAAAATGGGAGAAACCGCTGTGCTTTGTATTATATGTAGGAGGAGTTATATGGTTGATGCTCTTGGCGTTACCGGCGTTTAACGACAGTACGTATGTGTTCCTCCTAAATAAAAATTTCACAAGAATTAAAGGCACAATTGTGTGTAATTTTAATTTGTATACAAACTAATAACTTAATTTTTAGATACTTATTTCTCCGAAAATGCTTTACTACCTGGACTGGTTACGAAAGAGAGTAACTTGGAACAAACGTCAAAGCAGTACTACCATGAACTAATTCACGAAATGAAAAGATATCCGGATAGCATGCCTTACGCATGGCTCTCGGCAAAATTCAATCAGCTTCATTTAGATGTATACGTACATAATTTTTCCTTGATTTATCCATTTCAGGAACAGAAGGTAATAATAATTATAACTTTAAATGAAATAAATAGTATTACTTAATAATATGCTTCCTACTTTGCACACATATATATGCAAAATTCTATAGTTTGTAGGACAAAATGTTTATGGCATTGTCAGAGCTCCACGAGCGTCAAGTACTGAAGCCATCGTAGTCAGTGTACCATATAGACCTATCAACAGCATTTATTTAGACACTGCGCCTTCAATAGCTCTGTTACTTGCATTTGCAAAATTTTGCAGAAGTAAACCTCTCCGAAAATTGTTATTAATAATCAACAATTAACAATATGTTGAAATATGTTTTAATAGCCATTTGTCTGTAGAACAGAAATATTGGGCAAAGGATATAATATTTCTTATAACGGAGCATGAACAGTTGGGTATGCAAGCGTGGCTGGATGCATATCATGGCGTTACCAGTGGCCAAGAAGGGATTTTAATAGCAGGAGATTTATCAGGAAGAGCTGGGTCTATTCAAGCTGCTATCAATCTTGAATTTCATGCAATGAGAATCACATCTATTGACGTCAAGGTATATAAGTAAACATCATCTTATTATACTTTCATTGTATTCTGTTTATAAAACTATTTTCATTTTTAGATAGAAGGGCTAAATGGACAGCTGCCCAATCTAGATCTTTTTAATTTAGCGCAAAACATGATAGCCAAAGAAGGGATCCAACAGTCTTTCCAACGTCGATTCGATGTCAATTACAGAGACAAGTTAAAAAGTTGGTGGTATCATTTTAATACACTGATGAGTATGGTAGCAACACAGGCCACTGGGATACCAACTGGTAATCATGGACTTTTCCACAGGTACAATTAATAAAGCAAGATTTTATTAATAGAATTGATTCAGAGATCTCTAATTTACAATTTTGCGCGAGCAAGCAAGCAAGAGATCGAACAAGAAAAAAGTGAGAAGTAATTACTGGCATAACAATTATAAATAAAAAGTCTATAAAAACATAGGAAACTTGCCATTTAAATAATTTTTAATCTAACACGTTATTTTTATGCTTTAATCTTTTACGTCTTCAGTAACGATAGAATTAAGTATTTTACAAATAGATTTGAATTTGTTTGTAGATTCAAACTCTTTGATTAAAAACAAAAGATATATAAGGGAGTTAACAAACCAAGCAAGGTGTATATGCTAATAATATATTAATGTTGCAGGCATTTTACAAAAAGCCAGCATAACGAGAGTTTTATATAAGAAATAAGAGTTTAGAAATGATTCTTGTACATAATATAATAAAAAAAATGGTAAATGTATGTATGGACGGAGAAGGGGCTCCGCCCCTCCCCGTCCTCTCCGCATAAAAAAATAATCTAACTCCATATTTTTCAAAACTTGAAATTAAA